CAATAAGAATTGTAATGCAAAAAAACCTAAAGTACATGTATAAAGACATGAATTGGTGTGAACATACTTTATATACAATGATATGAAAAATTGTGTTCTATATTTGTAATAAGGATTGTAATGCATTCCACTGTCATGTATTTAAAAAAATAAAATCATTTAAATAAAAAAATGATAAAAGTAAACATGCACTTAACATAGGCCCAGTGACTGCATTCCTGGGTGCTTATCCCAGAAGAGTGAAGACTCATGTCCATGTGGATATCTAAATACAATTGTACACGGTGGCTTTATTTGACATAACCCAGACTAGAAACACCACAACACTCCCTGGCCCACCCTCGTGGTGAAGGGTGAAACAAACTGTGGCACAGCTTTACCATGAAGGACTCAGCAGTGAATTAAGAAGAGACACTTTTCAATGGAGCAGCAGCCTGGGTAGATTTCAGGGGCCTTACTGAAATTGAGGAGAAACCTGAATAAACCCTTTAGTTTCTCTTGTTCGCTGGTAGTTACTTGCTTTTTGTGGACTTTAAACGTTACTAACTTTGGAGGACAGGCCACTGAGCAATAGAGTATTCATCTCTTGAAGATTTGGAGGAGATAATATCTATGAGATGGGGGTTTAGGGTGATAATGTTTTCCTAGGTTACTTTTCCGGGCCATGACATCTGCTCCTATTGAAACCACTGAATCCCCTTGGGCCTATACTGGGGTCTGATGGGTGACATTTTGATGTCAGGGGGCTGAAAACCCCACCCAAGATCACACAAATGCCGCACACTATTTTCCATGAAGTCTGATAATGAGTTACAGACCACAAACGCCCATCATTCTTGTGGATGCCTACGTTCACCCCAGTTCTTCATCCCATAAGTAGCAATAAACCTTGGCCCCCTTTCAAGGAAATTGTTCTCCTTTGCAAAACTCCATGTTTCAAAGATTCACATGCTGTGTGGGGTGTAGCCTCCTTTAGGTTTTCTCATTAATTTATAAGAGGAATGGATTGCACTGTGGGCCAGCCATTCCCAATATAGGTCACAGTGCTGTCAGGGTGGGGGCAACACTACGTATGGGAGGGCCAGGGTACTGTGTCTGTGGGGCTGTCTATCTTGGGATTGAGTCAGTGCCTCCTGTGTTTGAGATCCCCAGTGAATACATGGTCAGGACTGTAGTAGGGGTGAAAAATGGTAGGACTTGGGGCATATCAGGGACTGCCTAGAGGTGGTCAGGCCCAGGTCAGGGTCAGGTCACAACCTCCAGTCCTGTACTCTGGATGGGCAAGAGCTGTGGGGACCTGAGTTAACCTTGGCCCTGCCTCTGGCTGCTGCTTCTAGCCCATGCCCCAAGCCCTTTGCGCATTCTGTAGGAGGCTGACAGGATTCCGGGGGTGCAAGAGGGTCTGGAGCCAGCAACCTGAGGTCTCCAGGGAGGTATTCATTTTACTCTTATTTCCTTATGACTTTTCCTTCATGTCTGACCATAAACTTCAGATTGTAGGGAACTTATTTTATTTGCCACTGTCAGGGAAAAAAAATCAAATGGAGCAGCATTGGTTCTAGGCACTTGGAATGGAGCAAGAAGCCATTGTTAATCAGATCTCACTGGGAACCACAGCTCAACCTTATCTGGGCTGCACCCCCACCCCACCATGCTGACCCGAGTGGGACAAACTACCTGTTTCCTGAAACAATGTTAAACTCTTGATCTTCTGTACAAACCACTCCTTCCACCAAACTATCCAGAGACTCAGATTGTACTCATGTCCCTTCCTACAAAATGGCTTAATTTTTCCAGCAGCAGTCTTAATTCCCGACTCACAGTGCGGTCATCTCCAAAGCCCTTGCTGTTAAGGCTCTCCATGCAGCCAGCATGCACTTGGGCAGGTGCCAAGTTCAGTGGTTCAGTTGTGGGTGCTCCCAGGTCTCAGATGTGACTTGCAATGTTCTCCCAACTCCATCTTATGTGTCCTAAAGCATTATCTCTCTGTTTTAATTTTTTTTTTCGTTGAAACAGTGTTAAATTCATAGATTTGTGCAAGAATCACCCAATTTGCTATTTTAATCTCCACTCCGACCTCTACCCCTAGATAACTACCACGGTTTTTTTTTTAAATTTTTTTTCATTTCCTAGACATTTCAGATAAATAGAAACCCAGAATTTGTTGTCCTCTGCAACTGGCTTCCTCCACTTAGGGTAACGTTTTTTAATTTCTAGGCTGTGGCACTTACCTGTGTTTTGTTATGTTTTATCCCAAAGCATAGTTGTACCACTCTTTGATATTTGTTTACCAGTTGACAGGCATTTGCAGTATTGGGATATCATGAACAATGCTGTTATGAAAATTCTTCTGCAAGTATTCATGGAGACACATGTTTCTAAGTTGAACTATTTTGTGTTATTCTTTAGTTTTATTCTTTAGTTTTCTTTCTTTGGGGACATGTATTTTTTTTCTCTTAGGTAGATTCTGAGAAGTGAAACTACTGGGTCATGTGGTAACTTTATGTTTGATATTTTATAAATTTCCAAACTTCTTTCTAAAGGATGCCTTATGTTATATTCCTTCTGAAATGTGTCTGGGTTCCATTTTTGCTACATCCTTGCCAACATTTGGTATTGTCTGTTCCATTAGCCATTCTAATGAAATTAAATGGTGTCCCATTGTAGTATTAATTTGCATTTCTCTAATTACTAAGGATGTGGAACATATTTTCATGGGTTTCATTACCATTCACAGTCTTTTCCTTTCACAAATTAAAAAACAATTAGAGGCTTATCTAGTTTAATTTTGTTATACACATTAGGGAATGTTAATTGTACAGAATAATGGGTTTCATTGGGAAATTTCCATACGTGATTCTAAGGAGCTTTGATTGTAGCTACATTTCCCTTTTCCTCCTTTTATATTAATCTTCCTCCCCCTGATTTCCTTCTCCATCCCTTATAGACCCTCTTTAATATCATATTTTCCCTCAAGATTTCTCATATGAGAGAACACATTTCCACTTGTCTTTCTGAGTCTTGCTTATTTTGTTCATACTGTGGTCTATAATTTTATCCATTTTCCTGAAATGACACGGTATTATTTTTCTTTATAGTTGAATAATACTAATTTCTCTCTCTCTCTCTCTCTCTCTCTCTCTCTCTGTGTGTGTGTGTGTGTGCACGCGCACACACACGTGTGTTTCTGAAACAGGATCTTTTGTCCAATCCCAAGGAAAGAACATGGAGACACAGAGTGCAACAGAAGTGAGACTTTTACAGAGCAGGTACAATATGTATTTTATCCTCTTAAACACAAGTTCCCTCCCCCAGTTCCTCATTGGTTAAGAACTAAGATTGGTTAAGAAGGTCACAACCTTACTGAACTTTGCCTAAGATGCCACATTCCCATATAAGAAAATTCTTTTTCCACATTTAAGATCTCTTCCCCCTTCAGTTAATGTTTCTCAATGTGGTATTTCCTCCTGTTAATCTATTAAACAGGTCCCTATTCCCACATCCTATTTTTCTAGGAGACTGTATGTGTATGAGTCTCAAGGCTGCCACATATGAATGGTATTGCATAAACTGTCTTTTAGTGATTTTCTACTCTGTCTTCTCTTTTCCCTGTATTTAGAATTTCTAAAATCTACTTACTTGAGAATTTACTTTTTGAACATGAATCATCAGATTTTCTATTTCTCACATACATGAAATTCTTTTTTAAAAATAGTACTGGGTGGGTATTGAACCCAGGGGGCTCTATGAATGAACAACTTCTCCTTAGTTCCTTTTAAAATTTGGAGATAGGTTGTTACAAATTTGTGGAACTTGAGCTCATCCTGCCTCAGTCTCCTGTGCCATTGGGATGCACCATGAGGACTGGTTTATATAGCACGTTTTGTTTACGCATTCTTCTCTTGATGGGCATCTAGATTGACTTCATAGCTTGGCTATTGAGAACAGTACATAGATAAAGGTATCTCATTCCTGTGTATGCAGGTATCTCTTTACTATGCGTGCTTTGATTCCTTTGGGTATATGTCAGGAATGAGATAGCTGGATGGTATAATCAATTTATGTTTAGCTTTTTGTGGTACCTCCATACTTTTATGCAGAGGGATGATACTGATTTACATTCTCATCAGTGGTGTATAATGTTTCTTATTCCCACTCATCCTCACCAGCATTCGTTTTGTTTTTTGTTCTATACTGGTACATGAAAAATTAAGCTATTTTGTAGGAACAAATATAGGTGCAGACTCAGTCTCTGAATAGTTGGTTGGAAGGAATAGTTTGTACAGAAAATCAGCAGAGTTTAGCAACGTTTCAGGAAACTGGCGGTTTGGCCCACTTTGAACAGCAGGTGAATAAAAGAATCGTCCATGTATGCATCTGAGATGTGATTAACAGTGACCTCCTGTTCCATTATAAGTGCCCAGAACCAATTCTACTCCATTTGTTCCTTTTTTTTTTTTTTTTTTTTTTTTTGGAAAGTGATTAATAAGTTCCTTGTAGTCTGATGTTTATAATCCAGAAATGAAGCACAAGACATGAGAAAATAAATGTAGATTGACTGTTCCAAACTCAGTGTGTTACATGGTAATGTAATGTAGACAGGGAGAGCGTGCCCTGGAATGCAGGTCTTCCCCTATTCTCGGTGGCCCCGCCTCTGGGCAACACCCCGGGGATGAATTACTATTGAATATCTTTTCCCTTTTTCTACGTGTAGCCTCCTTTTCCTTTTCTCATTGATTTGGGTCCTTGATTGGGTCAAGGTTGGTGTGGGAGGGGTCAGGGTACTGGGCCAGTGTGTGTGAGGGGGGTCTGTCTTGGGATGAGGGCCAGGGCCTCCAGTGCATGCGGTGGCAGGTGAGGCCAGAGTCAGGTAGGTGACAGGGTGGGGGTGGGGTGCGGTGGCTGGAGTGTTGATGCCTGTCTCAGGCAGGGCCAGGAACCATCTGCGCATGGGTAGGTCCAGGGCAGGGCGGGGTCATCCCGCAGTCCAGCACTCCCGGATGGGCGCCGGGACAGGCGCAGACCCGGAGCGGGCCAGGCTCATGGCTCTGCGGCCCTTGTTGTTGCTGTTGTCTCTCCGACTCCAGGCTGCCTCCTCCCCTAGTCCCTCGCAGCCCCCAGGAAACGCAGGTGAGCTCACCGGGGAACCGGAGGACCTGGAGCCTATAGCCAGCGGGCTCTGGGGCTATGTGGGCGGGGCCCAGGGTCCGTTTGAAGTCGGGGCTGGTGGCAAGGCTGGTGGGGGGCGGGAGCAGGCCCGGGCAGGCAGGGAGAAGCCACCGGTGTGTTCTCTTTGCCTCTACCTTGAAGCAGGCGACCGCGATGATGACATCACCCAAGGTAGGTCAGGTTCCCCAATCTGGCGGGGATTTTATGGGTGGGAATCCCTGCCAGAGCTCAGGTATGAGGCTGTGGAAGAGGACAGGGGGCCCAGGTCTGGCCCAGGGTTGTAGGGGACCCAGAGACAGAGGCAGTCAGGCTCAGGAGTCTCGGGTCCCTTTCCAGAAATCTGGGAGCACAGCCAGGGACCAAGACAACCCTTCTCAAATGTGAGGACCATGGATCCTCCCCCAGATAGAAGTCTTCTAAACAAAGTGGTCTCCATCTGCCCCACCCCTTTAGCAATAATGGAGCATGCCATGAGGGGGATCAGTTGCCCCAGGTCACACAGTACACAGAGACCTGCTTGTGTCTTTTCTCCTTATGACACTGGGGTGGAGGGTGTGGAGTGAAGACAGCTGCCTAGAAACTATGACCTTGAAAAAGTAAGATTAGTAACCCCAGAGAACTTCACTCCTCTCATCTGCAAAGTAGGCATAGAGTTGTGTTGGTGGAAGGAGTGAGGCCCCAGGGTATCCTTCCCAGTCCCCTGGCTGTCCTGTGACCAGCCTTTCACCTTGCCCCTTCCTGTCCAGACCCCCAGACCAATATTCCCGTGGCTCTTGCTCAGCTGTACTAGGCCATCTAGGCCTGGGCTGTGATGACTGAAGTCTGAGGCCAGGACAGCCCTCAATCATTTGGGCTGGTCACTTGTCCCTTGACCTTGGCCTTCCCATCTGTGAAGTGAAGGAGGGACCTCCTTGGGGTGGTATGGGACACCACATGTATCTCTAACAGATGTGGGGGGATTGTCTCCACAGTGTGTGGGAAGCCCAAGGTGATAGGGAAGGTGTATGGTGGCCATGATTCGGTGAATGGCCAGTGGCCATGGCAGGCCAGCCTGCTCTACCTGGGCCAGCATCTCTGCGGAGCTGTCCTCATTGACGCCCACTGGCTACTTTCCACAGCCCACTGCTTTCTCAAGTGAGTTATGCTTCCTGGGGGTTTGGCAGGGGAGGAAGGGGATCAGAGGGGATGGCCCTCCTCTAGGTATTGCTGTGGGTCAGTGTGCTGCCACCAAATGCACACTGCTTCTTCTTTGATCCACTGTCTACTCCACCTGGACTGTCCTCCCCACTGGCCACCCAATGCTTTCTTCATTTCCTGGGTCCTTATCATCCTTCATCCTCAGCCCCATCTGAGAGACCCCTCTTCCCTATGTCTGTCCCCCCTGACATGGACGTGTCCTGAGAACATTGGCACCTTACCCTACACTCCTGAGAGTACGAATCTAGTCAGAGACCAGATATGATCAGCAATGAAATGATTTCTTTCATTACTTTTGTTAAACTACATTCCTGGGAGGAGCCATAGTTGCCCCCATCCCATCTGTCAGGCTGAGTTGGTGGGGAGTGTAGGGTTCCCCAGCCTTGGAGAATGACATGGACAGTCAGGAGTCTAACTCTCCTGGCCCTCCTGGGCCTGTCTCTGTGGCTAACTTCAGAACACATGTGGAGGGACCCAGAGGGAACGTCGGACTCATAGCCCAGGTCGGGGAGTTGCAATTTGTACACTTACTGTCCCTGAAACCTCAGCTAGCTTCTCTTGAATCTGGGCACAGTCCCCTGAAACCCTCCATGACATGGGGGGTGGTGGCGGATCCCATGCCGATGTATCTCCATCGTTTCAGGAAGACAAGGAACAAGCTTCAGTCAGCATGATGCAGGAAGAAGCTCAAAGTGGGCAAGGAGGGCAGATGTGAGGGAAGGGGTCCAGCGAGATGCTACATTATGGGGGGCAGGGTCAAGGGACTTCCTTAAAGGAGGAATTGGGCTTGTGATATGGATGGGGGCCATACAGGTCTGAGAACTGTGTGAACAAAGCCATGAAGTTACTCATTCCCCTTCAGAAACAGGAGAACTTCAATTCTGTGCACTCGTTTGTGCATTTAAGAAATTCTTTGTGAGCATTTACCTCCAAGTGGAGAAAAGCAACCTTGAGGGAGTGGGTTAGAGGTAGTTAGGCCAGGGGATGGATCAGAAGGCGACATTGGAAGAGACCTGGTACATGAGTTAGCTTTTTGTCACTGTGACAAAATATCTGAGAATTGAGTTAAAAGTAGGAAATTTTACTTTGGGTCACGGTTTAGTTAGTACTTCTGTTACATGGAAACTTGGCCACATGGTTTCAGGCCTGTGGGAGAACAGTACAGTGTGACAGGAGCACATGGTGGAAGAGTCCCTTTCACCTCATGGCAGCAAGGAAGCAAATAGGGGTACATGGTCCCAACAGCATGTCAAGAGCACCCCCAACCGGATGACCTAACTGATTTCCACTAGGTTTCTGCTGCTTACAGTTTCTGCCATTTCCCATCATTGCCACAGACCAGCACCCAAGCCTTTTGCACATGAACCTATGGGAGTCACTTAAGATCCGAGCCATAACACTGTAATGATCCAGAGCTCCCCCTAGGAAAGTAAGAGGGTTTGATCTGAGGCACCCCTTAGTGCCCTTCTAGCACCAGGATTCTCAGCTCCTCCAGTTCTAGGAGGTGGTGGGAAGCCCTGCGTCCTGAGGTTGTGAGTTGAGTGTTCATCAACCTGGAGGGAGAAGGCTCCTGAGTGTTAGAAGGGAGGAGACAAAGCTGCCTGGAATCAGGGCAGGGAGGAGGGGTCCAGAGCAGGGTGGGCAGTGGGATGAGGATGCAGGAAGAGTGGGGGCCCCAGAATCAGAGATGAATGATGCTGATAATGGGCCCTTCCTCCTCCAGCAAATCCCAGGCACCACAGGACTATGAGGTCCTCCTGGGGAACACTCAGTTGTACCAGCACACCCAGCGCACCCAGAAGATGCTCGTGAACCAGATTATCACCCATCCAGACTTTGAGAAGCTCTATGCCTTCGGGAGTGACATTGCCATGTTGCAGCTGCACCTGCCTGTGAACTTCACACCCTACGTGGTTCCTGTCTGCCTCCCACATGCAGACATGCAGCTGCCCAGTCAAACGTCCTGTTGGATAACTGGCTGGGGAAGGCTCTCCGAGAAGAGTGAGGGGGCCTGGGAGAGGCAGGAAGGGAAATGAAGGACAGGAGGAGGATCAGGGCAACATGAGAGGGGTGGCTCAGCCAGGCAAGAGGCCCAGGCTGGTTTCTGAAGCCCCTGGACTTGACCCCCCTGTACCTCATTTCCATGCTCTCTCAGATGAGGACTGGGCAAGTGCTACATCCCTTTCAGTTCTGAAAATGTATGATTCTATGCTTCAGAGTTCCATGTGGCCCAGTCCCTGAATATCCGGGGATCCTTAACAACTGGAATCAAGAATCTGGGTTGTTTGAGTCTTGGTGGCTTTTGATTTGAGTGTTTAATCAGCCAAGGTTTGGGATGACTTGAATGAACTCCAAAGCTGTTCCCGGGGGCTGTCCCATTCCAGGTTGTTAGTTGGCTTTCCATCACTGTAAAAACAAAGAAAACAAACTTGCCTGAGATAATTACTGAAAAAGAGGAAAGGCTTATTGTGATTCATGGTTTATGATGTTACATGGGGATGACGTTACATCCTGAGCAAGTTATGGAGCAGTGCTGCTCAGGAAGCAGAGAGCCAGAGGAGGAGCTGGGTTCCTGACATCCCCTTTAAGGGCACACCTCCAGTGACCTACCCTCCTCCTGTACACCCCATTCCTTAAAGGTTCCAGCACCTCCCAGTAGTGTCACGGGTTGGGGCCAAACTTTAAACACACAGGCCTTTGAGAATCCTTGGAAAGGTGCTTGGGAAAAGTGGTAAGTCACATGTGGCATCTGACCCCAGAGCCTGCATGATGAAGTCAGAGTGATCCCAACTTAGGAATGGTTAATGTCTGTGAGCTCACCTAGCTCTTATCCTGTCCACTTCACATTCTTGTCATGTGAACTGCATAATGGAGAAAGCTTTGGGGTTTTGTGTTGCCTTGTCAGATTGAAAGAAGAGAATTATAGACAAAGGCTTATGCCTGGATGATTTAATAAAGAAAGGATTGTTTATGGCTCGAGGGAAATGCTTCTGGTGTACTTTCAATAAAAGAAAGAACAGTACAAGTTTGTAATTATCCATGGGGTCAGCATTTGGTTCTGTGTCTCTCAACAGTGGTGCTATAAGTGTTTTGGACAGAACATGTCTTCAGTGAGTGCTCTGCCCACAAGCCTAATACCTGCCCACCCAGTGTTAGGAACACTCCCTAGTCATGGGATGGCCAGCCCCCAGCATACATATGTGTACAAACACATTCTGGTTCTTCCTTGAAGGCAAGATCCAAGTCTTGTTTTAATGTTCCAGACAGTGTCCCAAGGCACCTGGTAGGAACTCCACTGCTCTTTTCCACCCTGGCACAGTAAATCACTGTTTCCTGCCTGTTGACTCCAAATTTCTCTCCCATTTTCCATCCTGTGTACTTCTACTCAGGTCCCCACGTGATGCCCTATACAAGGACAAGTGAATAGATAAGTGATTGGGTGAGAGGATGGATGAATGGATTGACAGATGGGAGGATGAATGTGGAATTGGATGGGAAGATGATTGGATGGATGGATGGATGGGTGAAGTTGGTGGATGGGTGGTTGTATGTGTTAGTGGATGGGGAGAAGGAAGAAAGAATGGAGAGACTGATGGGAGTAGATGGAAGAATGAGTGTGGGAAGATGGGTAGATGGATGGAGGAATGGGTGAATGAGTGGACGTGTGGGTGGGCAGGTCAGTGGATAAAGAGATGGCAAAAAGGTTAGTAATGGATGGGTAGAGAGTAGACTGAATGGTTCATGAGAGGGTAGGTGGGTGAGTGAATGGTTGCTGAACTCCAGGGAGTGGAGTCACGTGATTAGTGGGATTTGCCACTTTGTAGAATAGGAAAGGTTGTTCTGTTGTTGGAGGAATAGGCTAAGTATGTGGACAGCTTTGAGAAAAAGGTGGGGTGCTTAGCATGGAAGACTGAACCAAGGTTTGAAACCCATGCTTGAGAGTAGGGGTGAGCATCAGGCAGAGTGGGGGTTCTGAGTCGTCTGGGTTTCTTTGCTAAGGCACAGTGCATGTCACTCACCTCCTTCTCATTTTCACAGAGCCGTTGTTACCGCCCTACTCTCTCCAGGAAGCTAAGGTGAGTCTTATGAATAGCACGATCTGCAATACCTTCTATGGGCAAACACCTGGAGAAGGCAGGAACTACTCTGTGCAGGAGGAGATGCTGTGTGTGGGGGACTTCTCAACAGGAAAGGCCATCTGCCAAGTAAGTAAGGTCGGGCTCTGCTGCTCTCTTGCCTGTTCTGTTGGCCTCAGTTTCCCCTGGAGGGCCTGTGTTGGCCTCAACTGTCTTTGTGGAGACCCCAAACTTCCTTCCTTCTACATATTTTCTGTGGGCTCCATCCCTCATCAGCCTTCCTTCAGACCAGCACCTTCCTCAGCCCATCCCAGCACAAAGCTGTCTGCTGTGAGGACCCTCGACAGTATCCATTTTAGTTGCCTGTTTTAAACTTTGATGTGTAGCATATACACAGGATGAGTTATTTGTAAGTGTACAGCATGATGATTTTTCTGACGTTGATGCAACCTGTTACCGGCCCTCCCCACAACTCTCCATTCCCTTCTTGTCCCTAACCAGCAGATTTCCTTTTAGTCTTTGGAATTGATTCTGAATTTTCTGCAGACAGGATTTACAGTTGGCTTTATTCTGTATTTTAACATTATATTTGTACCCAGGGTTTTTATTGTAAGTTCATATCAGCTGTCTAATCATCAGAAAATAAAGGGTAAGCCATAATTGGGGGGCACTGGTCACCTGGTGTGTTGGAGTACACCTGTAAGCCCAGTTGCTCAGGAGGTTGACTGCAAATTCATGCCAAGCCTCAGCAATTTAGTGAGACATTTTGCAACTTAGGGAGACTGTTTTCATATTAAAAATAAAAGAAAGTGTGGATGTGGAACAGTCGTGAAAAGCCCATGGATTCAGTCCCTGGTAATAAAAAATAATATTAATATCTAGTTGGTAGTATACAAAAATGCCAATGTCAGAGAAAATAAGGAATGAATGAGACTGAAGAAGGTTAATAAAACTTGGTATTTAAAGATAATATGGGATCCTGGATTGGATCTTGGAATAGAATAGGGATATTTGGGGGCTGAGGCTCAGTGTAGAGTGCTCACCTAGCGTGTGTGAGGAGCTGGGTTTGATCCTCAGCACCACATAAAAATTAAGAAAATAAACATATTGTGTCCAACTACAACTAAGAAAAAAAATTTAAAAAAAGAATAGGGATATTTGTACATAGTGAAATCTGAATATTTATTTAATAATCTTGTACCATCTCTACTTCCTTGGTTTAAGTATTTGTACCATGGTTATGTAAGATGTTAACACTAGAGGAAGCTAGGTGCAGGGTATGTAGATCCTCTATAGTATCCTGCAAGTCTAGCCTAATCCTACATTATTTCAAAATGGAAAGATTTGAAAAGATTGGAATAAACCCTTTACCAGAGAGTTCAATTAGATGTCAAACAAGCAAATAAAAAAACCTCTCAATATTGTCAGGCACTGGAGAAATACAAACTCAAACACCAGTAAGATGCCTCTACACATTAATTAGATGGCTGAATTCAAACGACTGGCCACGTCAATTGTTGACAAGGATGTGAAGCAACTGGAACCCTCAACATACCTGAATGGTAGCATTGTAATCTGGTGCAAATATTTTGAAAACGATTTTGTAAAAAGCTGCATACACTTCTACCATACAACCCAGACATAGTAATGTTAGGTATTTACCCAGGAGAAGTGAAAGCAAGACATGTAGATGTCCAAGAAAGACATCTATATGACTACAAGACAATTCACAGCAGGTTTCTTGGGTAATAATTCAAAACTAAGAAAAAGTTAAAAGATCAGTAGCAGGCTAATGAACAAATAAACTAAGGAATATCCCTACACTAGTGCACTACTCAGCAATAAACAGGAATAAACTATGGTGCACACAGCTACCCAGGTGTACTACTAAATAACTGTCCCGGGGCTAAATGATTGTAATAGCATACTGGCCTGCCACATAGGAGGGTCTTGTTTTTCATCCTCAGGATTGAAAAAAAGAAAAAGAAATAGAAGGAAACAATCTTTAGTGAAAAACACCAGATAAAAATAGGAGTACAACTTGTGTGATTCTGTTCCTACAAAATTCTAGGAAGTTGGATACTCAGTGAAGAACAAGGCAGTATGGGTGCTCCCTGCTGCTCAGGGTTCACAGAGCCAGGGTCTGCACAGAGGTGTCAGCTGACCCGGCTGCTCTAGGCCATTCTGTCCACAGAGCTGTCCATCCCGGCCTCACAATATGTGCTGCCCTGGGCCACCAGGAGCTCAGGCACGGGGGCTAGAGAGCGGGGCTGTGCACTGATGGATTTGGAAACATGATCTCCACTGGGAGGATCATCTCAGCAGCTTCTTGCTGCTTCATTCTGGTGTCGCTCATTGGGGGCTTGAACTGATGGGCCTTCACTGGGGCCCTGATTCAGACAGTGGCAGCCCAGGGTGTCCAACATTGTCACCTGGTATTTCTGCCCCCACTCAGCCCCCATACTAACTCCTCTCTCTCTTTCCTCAGGGTGATTCTGGGGGTCCTCTTGTCTGCTCTGGCCCCAATGCCTGGGTCCTGGTGGGACTGGCCAGCTGGGGCCTGGACTGCAGGCATCCTATCTACCCCAGCATCTTCACCAGGGTTGCCTACTTCATTGACTGGATCAGTAAAGTCAGGAAGCAGAGTTCTCCGCCCGACCCTCCTCCCACAGACTTTCCATCCCGGCCTCTGAGAGCTTCCGGCTGCCCCGGGCCCTGGAACACGCTCATGTGCACACAGACCTGGCTCCGTCTGCCATTTATCCTCATGGTACAGCAGCAGGTCCCTGGGTGACTGTCAGGGCCCTACATATTTCCTCTGCCCAGGCCCCCGGGCTCTTGCTGCAGCTTCTCTCACTCAAGTCCACTGTTGATCTAAGCAGCTCCTTTCCCCAGCTTCCCTGCCCATCATCTGCCACTCCCAAAGCCAAGTTCAGCAAACCAGCCCAAATAAAAGACTCATCCTCCTGTTCCCCTGGCTGTGCTGCCCTCTTGGGCTCCTTCTGTCCCTCAGTGCTCTCCTTTCCCTTCCACTTGGTCATCTGACTTCCAGAAGGAGGAGGAAAGGGTCTTCTTAGGAATCTTCAGCCAAGGGGCCCTTGGGCAGAAAGCACTGCCATAGGGGTGGACTATGAGGAAGTTGGGGAGCCAGGGTGCTTTCTAAGCAGCGATCATGGTCTGTCTACCATGGCTGACTGCTCCAACCCTGGGGAGCACCGGATTGTTCAGAGAAGGCCAGGCTTTACACCTGGTGTCCAAGTGTAAGGGAGGCGGTGCTTCCCCTCAGTAGATGTGCGGCACTCCTGGAGTTTGGAGGAGGAATAGCCAGGAATCAGTGGACCTGAGGGATGACGATGGGTCCTGTCCTGTAGCCAGAGGTCTCTCAGATTTCGGTGGTGGGGGCTGGAATCTGGTCAAGAAGCAGAGAGGAGGCCCTGATGCCAGACTGAAAGCTCATCCTCATAAGGCAGCGATTTTCAGAGCTCTGCCCCCTTTTTGACACCTGGTGTGCTTTTCATCTGCATCTACAGGATGCTTCAAGCATGTATACAGGGATTGACTCACTGTCCACTTTCCCAACCCCAGTCACCCATTAACATGGTACCTGTTGTCTAAGGTCCAGGGTACACCTACCCTTGTGTCCACATGCCTCTTGTGGTTGGATCCCAGTGTCACCTTGTTGATGAGGCTGATCCTATACTAGGGGTCCAGTAATAAGTTTCAAAGTAGTGTGGCTGTCTTTCCCCAAAATATGCTGGACACAGGTTTTGATGCAGCCAGCAGGAACCCAGAGGCCTCACAATACCCACCCCAATGTTCAGATCCCTTGTTGAAAGGGAGAGCTTTTATTTAGCAGATGGTCACTTAAACTGGACACCATTTATGGGTTTCAGTGGTAAATGTTTCCTACCCTGATATTTCTCAAATTTCCTGGACCCTTACTGACAGGAGAATGGATGAACTCTCATGAACATTAGCAATAGGACTTCCCTGTCTTTGACCTTCTGAAGGCTCAGCAATGGCCTTTCCAGTGTGAAGACACTGTAGAGCTTTAAGTACAATCCTGGCCTTTGGCCAGAGCACCTCTACTAAAGTACAACTCTGGATGATTGTATAACCACCATCTTTGATGGGTCTTGGAGCTCCATACTCTATGGAAGGTGGAAGACAAGAGATTTCCATCTGGCAACAAAACAGGTGATCTCACCCAACAGGACTGCTCAGAACTGTGGTCTGCATATGAGTTATTTGCACAGCATGCGGTCCATGCATCTTCTCCACAGGGTCAGGGGAGCTTGGGTGGTTCAGTGCTGAGTACCACCTCCTTCACTGGCCTGTTGGTGCTATGGAAACCTCAGGCTGGCTGGTGCTGGGGACCCGGGCATTGTCTTTCCTATTACAGGGGCTGGGAGATTCTCTGATCCGTGGGCATTCTCACACTCTAAACCAAGAGATCTCAACTCACACCTAGTCCACATAACAGATCCACCAAATATCAGCTTCAGCCCAAGTGGTTTTTCTTTAGGTGAAGCAACTTAAGTACTCAGTGTCATTTATTTTGAATGGTGAGCTGAAGCATATAAGGTTCAGAAACTACTTGAGATGTTATAAGAAGCAAGTAGTGGCAGAGTAATGTAAGCCCAAT